GATCATTAGCACCATTTCATGCATGTTAAGATACATGCATATTTTAAAGTGCTTGTAACAAAGAACGAGTCATTCCAACATTCACTAATATATTAAATAATACATTTAATTTCATACTAAATATTATAACTATTTTTATTTTATATTGTCAACATAAATAAAATATTTATACTTACGCCTATGTAATAATTGTCAGTTAAATTTTAATACTTAAACTAAAATATTCTTAACATAAAAAAGAATAAAAATCTCCCCCCAATTAAAAGCTTATTAATATATACAATTATTTTTATTATTATATAATTAATGAATAATTTATTTACTAAATTACATATAAATATTGTATTTGAGCTTTTAGGTCCGTTGAATACAAAAATAAAAATAAAAATAAAAATTGGATGACGTGCTGGGAGAACAGGTTATCTCATTGTTTGGCAGAAAGAGGAAATTAGCGGTTGGATTCGTGGCTGCGAGATTCACTTGTCTTCCATTTCCGTCAGCACCATATTTTATGATCTATCCATACCCATTCCTCACTCTATTTTCTTTTGCCCTTTCGTCAACCGAACTCGAAGAAAGCCTTGACACTATTTGAGGTAAGGCTTCTCGACCACTAACCCTTTCGGCGATTGCTTCTTATGTTTTCTCCTTTGTTGTAATTTTCTTTCGTATAGACACAACAATTTCTGGAATAATAGTATTTTTGACACTGTTATAAGATTATAATAGGGTTCAGTGAGAAGAGCTTTTTTTGCCGCAGGGTGCTTGTGAAAATGCTTCAATGAGAAAAGCAGATAGATATCGTTCTATATTTCTATTGTTGGTAATTGACAACTGTATGAGTAGGATTGTGTGTTTTTCACGTACATGGAGTGGGAATGGTGGAATTTTTTGGAACTTTCAAGTGTAGTTTTGATCAAGCAAGCATAGACTTGGGGTGGGTTATGGTCTAGCGAAGGGGAAAGGAATCTGGAAAATCGCTCCTATTTATGTGCAGGCTCTAATATCAAATGTTTAAATGGGAAAGGGTTTGGGCGTGATGGCTATTGGGTTTGGTGTGTGGCCCATAGTTGTTAATCTCGGATAGGATAAATAGCAGCCGACCCCTAAAGCACTAGAGCAGAACAGCATATAGCATATAGTGGGTGACCGTTATTTAAAAATTTATAATATGCATATATAATATTTATGTACACAGAAATTTAATATAAATGCTCAAAAAATTCTCAAGATTACATAATTATCATTCCAAGTAACAGCATGGATGTTATATTAAACAAAAAAACAGAGGATGAACAGCAAAACAGATCTTGAACAGAAAAGCAAGAATGATCAGTGAATAGTAATGTTAAAAAGCTTAGGCTTAACTCATTCCTAAAAGCTAGCTCATGGGAGGAGGGCTACCCTATCTCTTATAAGGAGTATTCTCGCTCCTCTGTTTATTGTTACACCACGTGTGCATGTCTGTGTTTGCGCATGTGCCTGTACAAGGTTAAAGGATTCCTTAATTATTCTTTGTAGTGTATTCTTTTTAAATTAAGGAGACTAACTCTAGAATCCATATTTTCTGCACTGTTAATTTTTATTATATTTCAATGGAAGGTGTTGTTTGAGGTAACATTTAGTCGTTTCTCAATTCCCATTTAATTTATGGGTCTGTACTAAATGTTTGAGGTAATTTGTAACATTGAGGATGATGTATTCTATTAACCTGTAGGACCTTAGTTATTCATCCCAAAATTGAGTTAATCAACAACTTAGTTCTTGAGATTGTATGAATTAGGCATTGTTGTCCTATAGATTTTAATTCTTCTTTGTTCCTTGTCTTTGCAAACTATCATTCATTTGTCCTTTTTGGTATAAAATGATAGTGGAAAAAGATAAATGAATAACTTTTTGCAAAGTTAAGGACTAATAGGATTTTTTAAATCTTAGACTACAGTGTCCAATCTATACAATCTCGAGGACTAATTTATGGGTTTACCTCCCAAAATCTTAAATTTCTTGAGATATGATAAGAACAGAATATATTTATAAATGTATGACAAACCAGTCAGGGGATATCCCTGAGATTACAAGTAGAAATAGCAAGAACAATAGGAAAACTGGATTATGTAATGCAGCAACAATGACTGTCCCTATGACAGCCGCCCTCCCAAATAACCTCCCAGATAAATCCTACCTCCCTTCCTCTGATCAATACCCCTATATCCCTCCTACAGCCCCTCCTCCCTCATTCATCCACGTCACCCATTCTGTTAGAATCTACCTTAACAACCTCTTTGCCCACAATCCCCATCCTACCCCTCCTTCTCTGGTATGTTTTGAGTGGAGGCCCAATTGGCCTGGACCCAACAAGATACTTGTCCTAATTTAGTTCTTACTGACTGGGAAATAGTTTTAAGAAAAGGCAGATGATTAAGAAGATTGAGATATGATGCCTCATGAATTTAAAAAAGAATAGGAGAAGAAAGTAGGGAATTGCCCTCAATCCTACTTTAGACCAATTATTGCAAGGGACATGCTTCATTATAACCATTGTGTTCACTGTTGTTTAATTGCAATGATTTTTTAGATTCATTCAATTTTTTCTCCAAAATTTCTGATGCTATTTTGTACATATTATAATATGCATTTGTGCTTTCTTGGGCCATTCCATGATAAAATTTTATGGTGTAAATTCATGCATTATGATAAATTTAAGCAAGAATCAAACTTTTGTTTGTCATTGAACTTAAAATTTGATTTGGCTTTTATACTGCTTTCCTTATAGATATATATTGGAGATCAATCATATCCAGATTCAGTGAATCAAATTAGAATTAATCAGGCTATAATTAAGGAAATTATTCTTCCTTTTATTTTTCTGATTCAGTTATCTTTATGACAGACAGGATTGGACAATAAATAGAATCATGTAAATGTGGGATTAGAGGCAGATAGGACCTTTTACTTTTCTGATTATTTGTTTCCTTTTTTAGCTCACTAAATCCAACCACTCAGTCTGTATATATAGACTTTGGTGTAACCTATTTTGATCAAGGAAATGAATGGTACCATTCTACAATATATATTGATTTTCTAAAGAAAAAGTTAGTTTCTTACACAAAAACAGACCACATGTCTAAAGTAGCATGGAACCAATGGCAAAATGTATGACAGTTGGTGATTGTGTTACCATGTGGACCAATGGATGCCAAGGAATATTGTTAACACAATGGTCTTTGATATGTGTGTCTAGGAAAAAGGTGTTTGAGCACTCAAACAACAACCATAACAATCAAGCCTTATTTCACTATGTGGGGTCGGCTATATGGATCACATGATGCCATTGAACTCGGTCAAAAATCAAATTTTCATAAATCTGGTTCATCAAAAAGTCTCTTTTAATAACTTTACCTAAAGTTTTTTAGGTCTCTCTCGACCCCTCTTTACCAGACTAGGTGTCATGCAATCCGCTCTCTTTGCCATATCTAAAGATCTTCTCTATACATGAGCAAACCACCTTAGTCAATTTTTAGTCATTTTTTCCACTATAGTTGCTACTCTGATAATCTCTCGTATGCTGTCTTTTTTTATTTTGTCTTTTTTGATATGTCCACTCATCTACCTTAGCATTCTTATTTCTACCACTCCTACTTTTTTTTTTCTTGTTTTTTTTTTAAGGTCCAGTATTCACTACCATAAAGGATAGCTGGTTGTATTGCTATACGGTATAGTTTTCCTTTCAACGTGATCACAAATAATTCTTGATGTCTTTTTCCATTTTAAACACCTAGCTTGTATTCTGTGACTAACATCTTCATTAATTTCCTCATCATTTTGTATAATCGATCCCAAGTACCTAAACCTGGGAACTTATGGTATAAATATCATCTTCAAGTTTAATTTTCAACGCTTGGTCCTCATCTTGTGTTTTGCTAAACTTACAATGCATATACTCTATCTTACTTTTATTCAAGTGAAAACCCTTAGATTCTAAAGTCTCTCTCTATAGTTCAAGTTTAACATTAACCTCTTCTTTTGAATCCTTGACCAACACTAACATTTGCAAATAGCATGCACCAGAGGATAATCTTTTGTATGTCATTTGTAAGTACATCTAAAACAAGGCTAAACAAGTAAGAGCTCAAAGCGGAGCTTTAATGTAAACCAATTCCAATTAGAACGTCCTTAGATACGCCTCTAGAAGTTCTCACATATATAGTTACCCCCTCATTCATATCTTGTATAGCCCACATACCCTGTTTTTTTCTAAAACCTTCCATAGGACTTCTCTTGGTATCCGACCATATGTTTTTTTCAAGTTAATAAAAACTATGTGCAAGTCCTTTTCATTGTAGCGATATTTTTTCATCATCTTTCGGGAAAAATATATAGTTTCTATTGTAGACCTTCCTGCTATAAAACCAAATTGATTTTTTGCAAGCTCAGTTTCTTCCCATAAAACCATTGTTTGAGCACTCAAAAGTACTGTAAAATTTGCACTAATCACGAATATATGTTAATAGTAAATTAATATTTTCAATGTTATTAACATTTGGAATTCCTACCGTTTTAAATTCACCCCCTCCCCTCACTAATGATTTCAGATTCTAAGTAAGCACAGGTGGTACCCAGCAGTGGTAGGACTGTGGTTTATTACTTGCCTGAAATTATAAATACTTGTCTCATAGGGCAATAGTTATAGGCTTTATTTTGAACAAAAATCTGTACTTAAATGTTATGAATAATGACATAAGGTCCTGCACTCCTGCCCTTAGAACTAGTGATGGAATAGACTACCATAATTTAAATCTTGTAATTCTTTGATTTTTATTGTTTACACAAAGTTAATTGGTTTGCACTAACTTTTTCTTTTCATGGTTGAAGTGAAAATTTATAAGATAAAATAGTTGATATTGGGGTGTTACACTTGTTGCTGAATGGGTTGAAAATGATCTACAACCAAAGGTCAAATCCATTGTCTTCAAAAAATAAATAAATAAAAATAAAAGTAAATCATTGTTTCATACGGTGAAGTTTGTGGATTTTTCACAGCCTAAGACGCATCAAAATTTTGGCACCAACATTAATTATTCCTGTTTGTGGTAATACTTTCAGGGTTTCATTCATTCTGGTACGAGTTTTCTGATTTCTACTCATCTGCCTAACATCATTAACAAACAACAATGGCCTCCTCTTTCCCTCGATCGCTGTCCTCTAAAGCCAATCCTGCGCTTCACCACACCAGATCCAAGCAGCTGACTGGCTTTGTTCCCGAATCAGTGATGCGGCTCCTCAGATCTTCTTCAACTCAGCAGCAACAGGAAAACCCTGTCCATGAAAAAACACAGGCACCTCAAAAATCTCTCCATGATGAGAGCGAACGAAGCCTTGAGCCTAAAGAAGATGATGAAGATGATGATGATGTTAACAAAGAAACAGGTGAGGTTGGTGGGCCCAAAGGGCTTGAGCCCACCAGGTACGGTGATTGGGAACGGAAGGGTCGCTGTTATGATTTTTAAGCTTTTACTTCACTTTATATAGCATAAAAATAATAAATTCCATTATGATTATAATTGATGATTATGTAATTTAATTTATTACTATTATGAATCGCTTAAGTGACAACATTGTCTTTAGGTTCTTTATTATGATTCAGTTACACTTGGGTGAATAAGAATAATTAATTTGTTGCTTACATGATTCCCAAGAATGGATTGACGATTTGATCTAGCAATGATTCTAGTGTAACGTGTGTTAGCGGTCACATGGGTATTCCCCCCCTTTATCGTTTTGATGGAAATACTCTTCGTCGTAACTTGTAGGCTAATACAGCTTGTGCATTCTCTTACTGGGTTCTCAGAACTAAAGGTAGCTTAGTGAAGGAAGAAGAGGTTTTGTGATGGTTTTATGGGTTTTCTTCACTTGAGCTTGAATAATGTAAAGAGAGTAGAATAGTGAAGGGTGGCTGTGGATCAGTTATGTATTTAATTTTCTAAATAGTTTTTTTTTTTAATGTTTGAAAGAAGAGAGAAGGAACGAGAAAATATGATTAATACAAAACTCTTTAATTTAGAGAAACATAAAATTAAAAGATTAAAAGTATTTATAAGTCTCTTGTTCTCGTATAAAAACTCTTAAATAAGGAGAGTTATTTTATAACTCTTTTTCTTTTTTAAAAAAATTAACTTTTAAATAAATTCTTAGAGTTTTGTTATTCGATGCTTTTAGTACAGTGGTTAAGTGATAGAAATTGATATGCAAAATTATTGAATATCAACAAGAAAAAATGACTATACATAACTAGAGCCTATGACTTCTACAAAAATTCCAATAGCAGTAGAATTTTATCTTGTTGCTCTCTTCAAAAGAATGTAACAACTTTCCTTTCTCTCCCGTCTCCCTTTACTCTTATTATGCTCCTTCTAACTAATTCATGCATTAAATTTTTTTTTTGCTCCGTTACTCTTTTTCTTTCTCACATACACCTCCAAACTTTGGACCTTTCAGTAGGATCCAATAATTGATCTCCTTTCCTAATTCGTCACTTGAGGCAGCAGTCCCAACAATACCTTCTACTGAAACAGTAGCCTTGTCTTCAAGGTTGAAATAAGGAAATTGACTCTTCATGAAAAATTCTTCTTCCCAAGTAGAGTCTTCAGCTGCAAGTCTTTTCCATTGAATTAGATACTCCTTGAATAGGTTACCCGCCTCCATTTTGTCTCGTACTATCCAAACCTTCTCTGGTTCAATCAAACTACCCACTACCATATCCTTTGGCAAATTAAGAGTAGCTAAACATTGGCCAACATCCTTTTTGAAGCACATAGTCATATTTTCCCAATCTGATAAGGACATCTGAGTTCAAGCCCAAGCACATGGAAGAACTTATGCACCAAAGAATTCCCAAGATCCACTTGAAGACTTAAGTGCACCAATGACAAGGTTAAGAGCTAAGAAAACCCAAGAAGCATTAGCACATGAAATACATCTTGTATAGGAAGTCCAACATCAATTTGAAGCCAATGATATCAAGAAAGATCCATCTTGTATAGGAAGTCCAACATCAATTTGAAGCCAATGATATCAAGAAAGATCCATCGATGGAGTTAAAGCCTATCACTTATTTTATTTTTGCTGACTTTGAAGGAAATAAGCCCAATGACTCAAATTAAAGATTTTACTTTTTTCTTTCTTTCTTTTCAATCCATGAATAAAATATATTTAAAGTGTTTATATAACAAGACTTGAACCTAGGTACTTGAGGCTAAGTGTGATCCTCCTAATCACTAAGACATCTTAATTTACTTGTACTAAAATAGATTTTCTTTTTCTCTTGTTTGATTTTAAATTAGGAAAACTCTTAATCTACATTGTACTAAAAACACTTAAATTGAACGGAAAAGATAGAATTCATATTGAACAAATTCAGAAGTGTGAGATTTTCTCTTAAGGCTATGGTTCTTCCTTACTTCTAAGGCCTTATCAAGAATTCACATTCTTGTGACGATCATCGTAGGTTTATCAACCAAATAGGTTTGTGGCGCCTATCATTTGTTCTTTCTTTTTCTAATTCTCTATTTAACATGCAATAACAATGAGAAATCTAAATTTGACCTAGGGTTTAAATATATGCCAATTTTCATCTTAATCATCAATTTTCATTTCAAATTAGCCTAAATCATATCTCCTGTTATACAACGCCTTTTTTTTTATGATTCTTGAGCCAAAATTGCATTTTAAAACGTGAGCTTTCACCTCATTTAGAAACACCTTAATCCAAAATTTGTAGCATGAGATACAACACTTTGTTATGCTGCATAATTATTTTCTTGTTCTTGTTTGTTTTCTTTGCTCAAGTTAGTTCTATCCTCCCAACTTCTAGGGTTCAAGGTATACATTAGAAACCCTAATTTCCTATTTTAATTTGAGTGTTCCTAGTCCTAGTTAGGTCCTTTCTCTAAGGGAGTTGGAGAAACCTCATCATTTGGTATCAAAGCTAGTTAACTAGGGCTAGTTTTGAATTGAATCTAGAAATACTTGTGGCTAGTTGTGTGTGTGTTGTAACATCCTATACTTTGATTTAAATAAAATGAGGTTTGTTAAAGTATAATTGGAATAGATTTGGATAGAATTTATATTTTAAAAAACAAAAAAAGTGAACAGTAAAATCGCCTATGAACAGTGTCGATAAAACAGTAAAATCGCCTATGAACAGTAAATCGCGTATGAACAATGAAACCACCTATGTACAGTGATGATGATGTCATCAATGACATTAGCATGACGTCATGGCTGACGTCACATCTGCGTACAATCCGTGTATAGTACGTGTGTATAGTGTTTCCGGCGTGAACAGTGACCGCGAACAGTGTTTTCGGCGTGAACAGTAAGGCGGTGAACAATGTTTCCGGCGGTGAACAGTAAATTTCGAAAATTTTCTATGAAAAGGGAGTTTCACACGAAATTTTCATTTCTTCACTCCTATCCAAGGTTCTCAAAGGTTTTAAGGCTACATCTCACCATTTTCTCCCATACTAAACCTCCTAAACTTAGATTTTTCTTTAGATCTGTGATTTTACTTCCGATCTAAAGAATTTCAAGTAAGTTTCTCTAAGTTTGAAGTTAGATTCACCGTTCGTTTCTCTTCTTCTTCTTTTTCTTATAGATGTTTATGATGTTCTTAAGAAAAACTCTGTTCTAGAGTTCAAATCTTCGGTTAAATCTTTGTAAAAGCTCTGTTTTGAGATAAGGAGGGCTCTACTTTATCATTTTGTTATGTTTATTACTTGTATTATATGTGGAATAATCCTTGTTTTATGAAAAATAATCGGTGAAAAGTGAGAATAATTGGCTGTTTATGTGATTTTATGATGAATACATGGTGAAAATGTGATATTATGTTCAAATAGGGCATGATAAGATATATTGAGGATGGCTGATATGATTTTATGATTTTGTGATATGAAGTATACAAAGAGATGGATGTTTCATGTTTGAATATATTGTGTTTCATGTAAAAATGATGTGTATTGTAAATATGCCATGGTTTAATGTATAAGATGAAAAGTATGTGGAAATATAATGAAAAATATGTGAGAACATGATAAATGGCAAATGTGAACGTGTGAATATACTCGAAAGGGTATAAGATGGAAAAGGATATGATGTAAATAGTTACAGAGATATACTGGGGGAGTGAAAGATGGAGATGATATGGAATATCTTGGAGAAATGCAGGGTGGTGAGTGACATTCGGGATTGTGCACGGAATATTGTGTTCTAATGCACCACATGGCCACACACTCATTTCTCGACTTGACTCCTGACCATTACCTTTGCTAAGGGGCTATCTATTTCATGCGTTGTATCCGTATTGCATTGGGCCATCTGGCAATTATTTATATGGATATGTAAGACCACAGGATAGAAGTATCAGATAACTGTGGCCACAAGGCGCGGTAAGCGCGGATAAAAGTAAAAGAAATTGTGAATCTGTGTAATATAATATGTGTTGATATGAGAACATGCTTATATGACACTATGATATGTAATGCTATGATGTTTTCTTTAACTGTGATAAGATGTGTTTTGTGATAAATATGTGTGATGTATGAGTGGTAAGGTAGAGACTCACCCTTACACAACATTTTTCAGGAAATCAGGACGAATAGTACCAGGCTCACAGTGCATGGATGGATGAGAACTGCTATAGGACTTAGTTATTTTGAGTTATGTAATGAATATTTTCAGTTCTATAGCATTCTTTTGAAATAGTTGTAAAACTACTATTTCTTTTTGTTGCTGATGAAAATTTTAGAATCTTTGTTTTTCTAAAGTACTTATGAATTAATGAAATTTTACTCTATGAACCTTATATCATTTCATCGTTTCTTTCTCATTAGAGAGTTTTTGAAAGAACATTTACTTTACCATATAAATTTTTATGAAAATTTATTATATATTGAGGAAAGAAATATAAGGCGTTACATGTGTGGTTTGTTTGATTTTGTGGAGCAATTGAAACAAGGAGAAAGAAAATTACACTTGTGGAAGAGGCTGAATTTGAAGTACCAAATTGTGTTCATAAGGTGTTTGTTTTAATGCTTCACTTGGCGACCAAGTAGGTGTTCTATTTACTATAAGTTGTGATTGTATTTGAGAACTTTGTGAGTTCAATTAAAAATTCAGTTTGTGCAATTAAGTTGTGAAATTGTGTGTTAGATTTGGATACTAGCAAAAAGGTGGAAACTGAAGTTTATGGCTATTTTGCTGATACAAAATTTTAAAAAAATGAAAATTGTATTGAAAATAAAAAAGAGTGATTGTGTTGGTTATTTGGGTGACTTGTAGTGTGGCTGAAATTTCCAATCGACTTTGAAGTGTGGTTTGCTGAATTATAGAAGTGTTGAAACTTGTTTTTAAGCTTTTGAATTGTAGGACCTATAAGGAACTAAGTCACTCAAATTCACATTCATTAATCCCTTTCTTTTGCTTGTGTTTTTCTTTCTTGTCTCAATTTTGTCCAAATAATTTCTTATTTACTTGTTTTTTTGTGTTTGTTAGGTATTAGAATTGTTCTTTACTACTTCTTTGTGTGGTGTCACAATCTGAATTTAGAGCCTTTCTTGATAGTCACTTGTTTCTTATTTCTTGGTAATTTATT